CTGTCGTCGCACTTCAGACTGACTTGCCTCAAGGCATCCAGGGCACGGAAAGTCAAGCCACCGCCGCTCTTGTGACGAATCTTCAGTACGTTACTGGCGAATACCATGTCCGGCAACGAAGGCAACTGCAGGGTCTGTCTGAAACGGCACAGTTCGCACTTCCGGCCGTCGCCGGCAGCACTTTTATCGATGCATTTGCACACGGATCCTAGGATGCGACTAGAAGAAGCGCGAAAGTGCCAATCACCTAATCGAAATCGCTCTTCTTTCTCCATGCTGCAATCACAAACAGTATAAAAACAATTCGAAGAACACATGCAATGACATTAATTGAAATTTATAAACTAATTGTATAGTTCAAATGTTAACTTATAGTCCTGACCTATGACTGAAAAATTTCGTTCCCTTAACCAAGCTTGAGATGATGAAATGCGCCTTTTGAGACGAATCGCTGGCCTTAAGCATCTCAACATTGTGCGGAGTACAGAAATTCACGAGATCCTTGGTGTACACTCGCTGTTTCTCTAGACTGAATAGATGGTTTGGGTATGTGTTACAAATGCCTCCAGAAAAGAAGGGGAAGCAGCTGTTACTTGCCCTACCGACCGGCCGGACTCTGTAGACAAGGGTATCGAACGACTCTGTTCCAATCTCGGCTGATCGTATGTCATAGCTTAAACGCCTGCAGGGGATCAGTAACGTCTTAAGCACGTCTGCTTTCACGACCCGAAACGATCGGTGGTCATCCGGAATAACTGACTCACTCACTGAATGATTGATTCACTGGCTGACTGAAGTAGTGCCTGCTGCTGTTGAATATGAATTTTTAGGCCGAAAAGATCATATCCTATCTGGAATACCATAAATGGGCGAACACACATGGCACACACACAACCGAGGCGTTCAGCCATGTCTGTTCACGTGTGAAAATGACAACGTACCAAGTTACGTTAAATGTGAAGGGGCCATTAACAATACCTAAAAGGTAAGTTGAACAAATACAACGTAAATAAAATCTTACTACTGTCTATTGTATCGCAGTACCATAATAACATTGAATATTATTGTTCCGTAGTTGTACTGGTTGCATTTTCGTTTGCTGTGTAATGTACTGTTTATATCACATGCGAAAAGGAAGGCAAGATCAGCGGGAAACCATTCAGATGTACGTGCTTTCGACATATCAATTGTTAATAGTCTCAATTCATGGTTCTTGTGACGCTGTTTCTTCATGTGCCAGTACTTCAGTATCTAGCTAAATCTGTTACAGGGTGGTTAGATGAAAGTACATCGATAATCATAAGCATTTTTTGATCCATTGCTGGATAAACGCGTCTCGAAGATATTTGCCGCGAAATTCCATCCCCTGCAGCTTTTAGGCAAAGCCTTTGAACAATCTTGCAAATCGATTAGCCGTCGATTTCGCGGGCTTCATATTGCCGTTACTATCAAATCCAGGCTATCATTGTTCAGCGACAGCCTTTTGTCTTTGCAGCGTGCATCTTCTTCACTGTTGCAACGAATTCTCACACCCTTACTGGTACTCTTCCAATCGATCATGCTTTTTATTGATGATTGTTTGCATTTTTCTTCGTTGCGCTAGTTTGCAGTTTTGGAACAGTTTGCACGATTAGGAAATACGTTCCGCATTCGAGGTGAGGGGACGCACTGTACAATCGGTTGGTAGTTTCCCGTACAATTTTGGGGATGCCGAGTTCCAACCCCACGCGTATCGTAAATTTTCTCAGAAGTAATGAATTCAGCTCTTTGATGCGAGTACGGAAACGGATAGGGAGTCGACCTGCGAATAATAGTACACATAGTGTTTCGGCGTGATCATGCCAAAGAGTGCGAGACATACGGTAATGTTATTTGATGCATGCACGTTACGGCTACGGCCTTTGACCCAGCGAATAGCTCACTAAAACTAAGCACCAGGTGGAAACGTAAATTTAATAATAAATTTATTTAATTCAACAATACGTTAGCACTGGAAGCACGCATCGGTGCAAGTGCTTCTGTTTCAAATGTATGGATAATTTGCCGGACACAAACATTTGCAGCCTTCTAGCGTTGTTGCGTGTTATTATTACTGTTGTGCTGATTTTATAAAGAATTAGGTGCTTTTGTTGCGATGATCAACCGTGCTACATTTTGTCAGACGCCGTTAGGCACCTGTTTCAATCTGAGTCAAGTAAGTTCAAGAGTTGCGCATCGTGAACATGACGTTTTTTTAGGTTCATTTTTAAAACTACATTGAAGCACGTAGGTTCGACAGCTAAAAATCACTTTTCTACTTCTTCAGGAAACGTTATAAGGGTTCATTTTTTTAATTTTGTCACCGTTCCTGTGGATAGGATAGGCACACGCCGCCAAGACAAGAAGTCAGAATTCTCCTGTCTGCAGACGATCTCTTCCTTATGTCATCCTCCAAAGCAGCGCACAGCGCACTCTTAGATTCAAAATCTATTCTTCAATTCGACATATTCATTTATTTTGTTTCACTTACGTATCTTGAATGAAACATGATTACCTTCGATTCTTCAGGCAAATTGCAGACATATTGCAAGAGGCAATTAGCATAAAAGCAAAAAGACAATATTAAAAAAACGAAAAACAAGGTCAAGTTATATGAAGATTCTTTAACATATTCGGCTATTCTTCCTCACGGTCAGAGGCATGCGATTTGGAGTAGGACTGACTTTAACAACTCATCGATGAGATATCTGCACAAACTGTATTCGAATTATGCCCCAGCCGATAATGCTTCTGAACCGGCGCTACTACAGATATTGTAACAAAGAAAACATAGACGTAGGCGGGAATTGCCTTACGGTAATTTATGGTTTTTCGCGTCACGTCATTGCAAAGAAAAACACCCGACTTGTCAGAGTTGTCACGAAATTTGCACAATGCACAAAACCAACAGGAACTCGAAACAGTACACACCAACGGTTTATATCATGAGAAATAAATCAAAATGTGTTCGGTTGTCTAACATTAACGAAGGACCGCCTTCGTGCACTAAATTCAATTAAATAAGCAGATATTACAAAAGGCACAGAGAGAGCTTGGTTTCAACATAAAAACGAAACGTT